ATTCATTTCTGTTCGAGGTTGAATGCCGTTCTCTGTTGTGTACGACATCAGAAGTCAAAGAGTGTTCCTGACTTCCTTCTAATTTTCTTCTGTTTTAAATTCCAATTATACCAAGAATCTATACAAAATTTTTTATTTTTTCGAAACAATTTGCTTTATTTCGAAATTGGTGTTTGTGAATACCTAATTTTTACACTATTTTATTACCTTCTAAAGTCATTAGTGTTTTGTTACTTTAATTATTTTTCTCAATTTTTATGTCTTTGATTGCATATTTCCTATCATAAAATACCAAAAATAGTTCTTTCTTCATTTGTGAATTTTAGGAATTAACTATCTATTCAATTGGTGAATTAATCTAGCTAATTGATCATTTGAATAAGTTAATTAATTTATTTATTTGTGCAAATTTAGTTTAATAAGTATGATTAAGGATAGGTTAAAATTGAAATGGTTAGGTGGCTAAGAGTGCAATGTCAAAGCCAATTGAGAGGGCTGCCAAGGGAGGGGCCAAAACGACGTAGTTTAAGACAAAACTATGTCGTTTTGTTTAAGTCTCAGAGATCAAATCTCAGCCTTCTATTATCCTTGATCCAATGGCCCAAAATCAATTTTACTTGTCATATAAAATGCCCAATAATCAGATTTTTGGCCTCATTTCACTCTCCCAAACCCTAGAACCTCATCAATTCTCTCCCACTCCTCCTCTGCCGTCGTCGCCCCTCTCCATGATGGCACCACCGCCTGCCGTCGTCCGCCGGCGTCCAAACACGCCCAAAATTTCACCATGTGATCTACAATACGTCCTCTTTCCATATATTCAAAGCAAACCCTTCAAAACCCTTTCAAACTAAACAAATTTTAGATCTAGGGAACCCTAGCCGCCACCTTTTTGCCCAAAATCGTGAAGATTGAGCCATTCTTTCCCCCTAATTTTTACATAGATAGATATAGCTCAGCGGGGGCTATCTTTTCATATTGGTCTTGACCCGAAACTCCGGCGGCCGGAACTCCGGCGGCTATCACTGTCGTGCTGCCTTCTACCACTTCCACCACCCGCTGCCAAACCGCATTTATCCACTTCTATAAGCCATCATGCCCTAGGTTTCTTGCTTCCTCAAGCCACTGACCCATCTTTCGTCATATGGTGACTGAGTTGGCAAGAAACCTCGAGTCTGGTGGCCGTAGTTCATCCCCAGATGGTGTTAAGACGAGCAGATTTGAGTTCACGGAGTTAGGTATCAATTCAAAACCTTCGTTCCCTCACTAATTTCTGATTTTTAATAGCAATAGCTTTTGATTTATCTTTTGGTCAAATTACTGTTAATTAGAATTTCAAATTAGTACGTTGTTGATGAGTTATCTCTGTTTATCTTAGTTGTTTCTGTTAGTTGAATCGTTCACTTAGTTAGTCGTTTAGTTAGTTGTTTTTACTCGTTGTTCGATAGTTTACCAATGTTCAATTAAGTTTTGTTTTGGGCAGTGTTTTCTTATTTCAATCGCCCACTATTAGTTCTCATTAATCGATTAGTTTCAGTTTAGTTCGTTTGGATACTTAGTTCAATTGCAATTGAAGTCATGCCCTAGCTTTGCCTATTCATAGTTGGTTTGAGTATGAGTGTGTTAGCTTGAATTTCATTCATGATAAAATCTGAATATTTGTTGAGTGTAGGGTACTTGTTTTGCTGCTTTTTACTGTTAAAAGGCTGTTTGGAGTACACTGCTCCTAGCATTGTTCATAGTTGGCGATTTTTTTTTTTTTTGACAGATTTTTGACCAAAAATCTGTCTTTGAATAGTTGGGACAAATTTTAGGTGGAAAATCCGTCCTTTGGACAGATTCAATCAAATAATTCAATCCCGAGGTCTTTCCTCACTTAAAGATGATCTTTACACACATTAAAAAGGGGGAAATCAGAAAAAAAAGAGTTGAAGATAAAAATTTCAGCAGCCTTTCACCTTTGAATACTTTCCAGAAAAGAGCAAAAACCTTCCAAAAAATATAAAAAGTTTGAAGTCAGTTTGTTGTACCTTTCTCCTTTAAAAGTTGTTGAGTATCGAGGTTATTCTGGGTTGTTTCATTGGTCTTTGTCACTGCTGTTGCTGCCTGAGTTCGGGCGAAGTGATTACTGTTGTCTTGTATTTAAATCTGCAATCTAGGTAACTTTTCAAGCCCGCAATGTAGTTTATTGTTAAAGAAATAAAAGTATGAACCCTTACTTTATTTTGGAATAGTTTTTACAACTTCCTACTTATATGAATAAATGAAGTGTTTATCCCATGTATGAAGAATATGTGACTGCGTGTAGGATTAGTTTGTCATAATCTTATTTGACTCATTTTAGGCTATTCTGGAGTAGGAAGTATATCATTTAGTGTGTAGAAAATATTTTCTTGTTTTTAATTCCGGCTCTAATAGTTGAATCTGTACAAAAAAAAGTGTAAAAAGTTCTTTCTCTGTCAAAACGTGTGTGGCGAGGGGTTTCTGTTAGAATTTTCGTTGTTTAACATTAGGCATTTTTGTTCAATTGAAGGTCCAACACCAATCTTTCACTATCATTTCTTTAATCCGTTTTGGTATTTTTAGTCCCTGTTTTGACTTTCTACGAGTTTGTGAGTTACAATAAGGAATTAGTTGAAAAAATAAAAAGTGAACAGTTGAATAAACTAGAACTTGCCTATTCCCAGAATTCTTACTATATTTTGATATACATACACCTGAAATCTGCACTTTTTCTATGTTCCGAATCC